TTTGACTATCCAACTTTCTCGGCTTTATTATTACTGAATATTTACAGTTGTTTAACTATTCAACTTTCAAAACTTTATTATTATTGAACGTTTACAGTTGTTTGACTATTCAACTTTCCCGGCTTTATTATTATTAATGAATGTTTACAGTTGTTTGACTATTCAACTTTCCCGGCTTTATTATTATTGAACGTTTACCGTTGTTTGACTATTCAACTTTCAAAACTTTATTATTATTGAACGTTTACAGTTGTTTAACTATTCAACTTTCAAAACTTTATTATTATTGAACGTTTACAGTTGTTTTACCATTCTCCTTTCAAAACTTTATTATTATTGAACGTTTACAGTTGTTTGACTATTCAACTTTCAAAACTTTATTATTATTGAACGTTTACAGTTGTTTAACTATTCAACTTTCAAAACTTTATTATTATTGAACGTTTACAGTTGTTTTACCATTCTCCTTTCTTGACTTTATTGTTGATGTCATTGTTTGACTATTCACTTTTCCTGCTTTATTATTATTAAATGTTTACGGCGTTGCTAACTGATAAGAAAATGCCGAAATAAGTAGTTACCATAACACCGTGAATTTTGGTTCTCGATATACGATTTTATCATGTGCAAATTTTTAATATAAATAAAAATCAGTTGTGTTTAAAATTAATAATAGTATTTACTAACAACTACATAAATGAACCCCTCCTCCGTTAAGTCAGGGAAATCATAAAATCCTTTCCAGGTCCAGAATTATCAACGTGATGATGATTCTCAACCTTAATGTGCCCATGAAATTTGGTACAAATCTGATTATATTTTACAGTTATTAACTGAAAACCGCGAGGATGCCATATCTCCTCTTTACAAAAAAAAAGCAAAACAAAAATGCTTCAGAGTGATCCAGAATTCGAACCAAATTTGGGAAGGACTGTCCCATATTGACTTCCCATCTTGTGTAAAACCTTCGTGTACATCGGTCTATTAGTTTTCGAGATACGTGCGCGGAAACACACATACGGACCTGATTGCAATATCCTCGCTCCTCCCTCCGGGGACGAGGGTAAAAATTCACTTTGATCTACTGTTTCTATTTTAAAATAAGAGGAGGACAAGAAATTAAAGTAACGACTAAACCTCCAACGTTTACTAACACATACAAACACACGCACACATATTCACACGTATACAGTTGCCATCTGTTGTTTGTACCACACACGTGTTTATTCCCAACTCCAGTATGTCGAGATAAAATGTGGGTGTGAAAATATTTTCAACACCTATCGGAAGACCTGAGAACATATTCAAAAACCTTATAACCAACAACTAGTTTTTACCATACTTATCTTACACCGCTGCATGCCCCCATCACAAGATGTACAGATATTTCACATTGACTTTGCCGGGTTTTTATCTAAACCTGTACTAAAGTTGATTCAAATCTGCCCAGCTTTTCCCGAACACACTGCGTCACGCAAGAATGGAGTCGCTGAGACGTTCGCTGGTGCAGAACAGCATAAACCCAAAAATTTTACTTATATAAGTGGTAAAGTTTATTAAAGCGCAGAAGAAAAAAGTAGTGTGTCAAAACTTAAGTCCTTCAAACAGTTTTCCAGGAACACTTACTAATGTGATTGTTAGGATTAAGTACTTTAGACAGTTTTCCAGGAACACTTACTAATGTGGTTTCTAGGATTAAATCCTTCAGACAGTTTTCCAGGAACACTTACTAATATGGTTTGTTAAGATTAAATCCTTCAGACAGTTTTACAGGAACACTTACTAATATGGTTTGTTAAGATTAAATCCTTCAGACAGTTTTACAGGAACACTCACTAATATGGTTTGTTAAGATTAAATCCTTCAGACAGTTTTACAGGAACACTTATTGATATGGTTGCTAGGTTTAAATACTTCCAACAGTTTTACAGGAACACTTATTCATGTGGTTTGTTAGGATTAAATTCTTCAGACAGTTTTACAGGAACACTTATTAATATGGTTGCTAGGTTTAAATCCTTCCAACAGTTTTCCAGGAACACTTACTAATGTGGTTGCTTGTATTAAATTCTTCTGACAGTTTTCTAGGAACACTTACTAATGTGGTTTGTTAGGATTAAGTTATTCTAATAGTTTTCCAGGAACACTAACTAATGTGGTTGCAAGGATTAAGTTATTCTAATAGTTTTTCAGGAACACTAACTAATGTGGTTGCAAGGATTAAGTTATTCTAATAGTTTTCCAGGAACACTTATTAATATGGTTGCTAGGTTTAAATCCTTCCAACAGTTTTCCAGGAACATTTACTAATGTGGTTTGTTAGGATTAAATCCTTTAGACAATTTTACAGGAACACTTATTAATATGGTTGCTAGGTTTAAATCTTTCTAATAGTTTTCCAGGAACACTAACTAATGTGGTTGTAAGGATTAAGTTATTCTAATAGTTTTCCTGGAATATTTACTAATGTGATTGCTAAGTTTAAATTTTCCTGACAGTTGTCCAGAAAAACTTACTAAAGCAGTTGCTGGGTATTAGTTCTTCCCACAGTTTTCCAGGAACACTTACTAATGTGGTTGCTAAGTTTAAGTAGATTTTATAACATGTAAAAGGTTTGAATTTTAGTTCTTGTACTAGGCTTGAGTATAGGAAGTCACCACAAATGTAGGAAGGTAATCCCTAAAACAGGGCCTGGTGGTTAGGGTACTCAGCTTGCAGTTTGCAGGTTATGGGTTCAAATCTTGCTTCTGAACGATCTCACCTTTTCAGTCATGGGGGCATTATAATGGGATGGTCAATCCTACTATTCATTGGCAAAGAGTTGGTGGTAGATGGTGTTGACTAGCTCCCTCAAGTCTATCACTTCAAAATTAGGGATGGCTAGTGCAGATAGCCCATGAATAACAAAACAAACAATCAATCTCTAAAGCAAGGTTCTGTCACCATTGTCTTAACTGCTACACGAGATACCTATATATTAGTCAGCATTTCCTTTGTGCTAATTACCTGTACACTTATCACAGATGAGTGTCAAGAAAACCCATTTCCAAAAGTTCCCTTGATTGTGGTTATTTACCCTAAAGAAGATTATTACTCTTATATGAGAGTTTCTTGATATTGAGTACCAGAATATCTTGTTCAAATAACTGCTGCTTGTTATTCTATGTTTCCTGATCTACCAGCATTATCTCTTACAGATTCTGATTTTAGTATTTTTTATAGTCCCACATCAAAGAGTTTATTTTATTTCAGTTTGTCCAATTCAATTGTGGTTAAGTTAACTGTATTTTAATGTACTGATCATTTACTGTGTTTAGTCCACTATTTAATTTTACATCAGTAAAATATACAAACCTGCTCAAAGAGGTTGGACAAAACAAATACCTGCTTAAAGATTTGCTCATTTTCTGAAGTTCTCCAGATGTTAAATGGACTGGACACCCATCTGAGTGGTTAATTTGATCTTTCAAACAGATGATCTGTATCATTTATTCACCCCCACCGCCCCCAGTGGCACAACTGTATGTCTGCAGGCTTACAATGCCAGAAACCTGGCTAGCCCATTGTGTAGCTTTGTGCTTAACTATAAACAATAAAAAATATATTATTTAGGCATATCTAATTCCTGTCCTATGTTATTTGTCAAGCAACATGGGAAAGAAATGTGAATTAACTGACTTTCAAAGATGACAGACTTTAGGGTTCTGATTTACATGTGCTTTAGTAAGCCAAATTGCACAATTTCATGACTTTGCAGGAGGAACGGTATCAAAGATTATAACAGCATGATGATCAGGTAGATGTAATAGTGGTTAGAATATCATTGTGTGATTTATTCCAAACTGTGTTCCAAGGGATGGAACCTGAATCCACAGCATACCTTTCAAGAAATTGCAAATGCCTTACTCTAAAGAATTGAAGTATCTGAAAGTGGAACAATATGTTACTAAACTACTTCCTCTGAATGTTTCTATTTCTTTTGTCCATCCACTGTATCTACTTATACTATATATTTTTTAGATGGAATATCACAGTATAAACAAGATAAAAATTAGTTTTGGTGTTATGACCAGTATTTGGTTATTGCAAAAGCTTAAAAAAAGTTAGGAGTGACTTTTTCTCTTTTGTTTTCTGTTGTTCTTAAAGCAAATATGTAAAACGAAGGGCTATATGTTGTAAGTAGAATGCTCAAAGATATCTTTATGGGTAGTAAAGGGAGGAGGGGGGGGGATACTTTGGCAGCAAGCTGTTGTTCCAATCCATATATTGGTAGGCAATATGGAGTAAGAGACCATAAGCTGTTGTTCCAATCCATATATTGGTAGGCAATATGGAGTAAGAGACCATAAGCTGTTGTTCCAATCCATATATTGGTAGGCAATATGGAGTAAGAGACAATAAGCTGTTGTTCCAATCCATATATTGGTAGGCAATATGGAGTAAGAGACAATAAACTGTTGTTCCAATCCATATATTGGTAGGCTATATGGAGTAAGAGACAATAAGCTGTTGTTCCAATCCATATATTGGTAGGCAATATGGAGTAAGAGACAATAAGCTGTTGTTCCAATCCATATATTGGTGGGCAATATGGAGTAAGAGACAATAAGTTGTTGTTCCATTACAGCTGAAACCAATATTTTGAGTCTCCTTGAAGAGTTATTTCTAGCTAACCCTAGTTATTAACAACTCACAGTCCAGACCACCAATAACCCAGTGAATCAAGGTATGTTGATGAATATTCACATGCAAAATGGCCTGTCAATAATGTAAAGGTTTGCTTTGGTCCTCAGACACCAGAAGAAATGTTGTGGGATGTATACTTTGAGGCACCACACCACTGTAGACCCTGAGTTCACAACTCATACTTAGCAAAATGCTGATATTATGAATCACAACCAAAGGTCTAAATTTTTGTTGATAATGGCTCCATCTGGCTGGGAGGTACAGTAATCAAAGGGTTGAAGACTGTCATCACTAAGTCAGGTTTTAGGAACAAAGATTGAGCAAACAAGTCTGCAGTCATACAGAAGAGAACTGAAGGTGAACATAGAGTGCTTCCTTCAATGATTCCAGCTATGGAAGGCTCAATCACTAGATAAACCTGTGTAATCGCACTTGCTAAGCCTAAATGGTCCTAGACTTGATAATTTGGAAAAACACTTCAGTACAGTCTGTGCCTGATAAGTTAGCATTGGATGGAAAAATTTCAGACAGATCTTGGATAAAGCTTCTTCAGTTTTTCCGGTTACATTGTGAAATGTGTTAGGTGTGGTGAAAAAGTGTTTGCTATCATATTATCTTTGGTTTGATGGTCTGGTTGAGAAAGTGATATGAAATGTTAAACAAAGTTTGTAAACCCAAAATGTGGTGACTAGAATCATTACTTGCTATGTGTGATGATATTTTACAGGACAACAGTGTAGCACTCCACATGCTGTTCTCAAAATGTTCTAATGTATGGATGTGATATATGTGAACTACAACATAGTGCATATATTCCACCATGTCTGCAAAAACATGAAAAGTAGTTCAGAGCCACATAAGTTGAAGCATATTAATTTGTGTGGGAAGATTTAGGTAAAATATTTGAATGTCAAAAGAAAGATTGTTATTATATCATGAAAAAGTTATACTATAAATGAGGTGACTAGGATTATTTGTAGTATACTCTTGTAGCACAACATTTCTGGTCTCCAATGCTGGTCTATTTAACTATCCTAGTCTCTGATGTTGGTCTTGTAAACAATTTTGGTCTCCATTGCTAGTCTGTTTAACTAGTCTCCACTGCTGGTCTTTTTAACTATCATAGTCTCTGGTGTTGGTCTTTTTAACTATCATAGTCTCTGGTGTTGGTCTTGTAAACAGCTCTTGTCTCCATTACTAGTCTGTTTAACTATTCTAGCCTCTGGTGTTGGTCTTGTAAACAATTCTGGTCTCCATTACTAGTCTGTTTAACTATTCTAGCCTCTGGTGTTGGTCTTGTAAACAATTCTGGTCTCCAATGCTGGTCTTTTTAACTATCATAGTCTCTGGTGTTGGTCTTTTTAACTATCCTAGCCTCTGGTGTTGGTCTTGTAAACATTTCTGGTTTCCATTGCTAGTCTGTTTAACTATTCTAGTCTCTGGTGTTGGTCTTGTAAACATTTCTGGGCTCCATTGCTAGTCTGTTTAACTATCCTAGCCTCTGGTGTTGGTCTTGTAAATATTTCTGGTTTCCATTGGTAGTCTGTTTAAATATTCTAGTCTCTGGTATTGGTCTTGTAAACAATACAGTCTCAGCTGCTGGTCTGTTTTATCAATTCTAGACTCCCGGTGCTCATTTTGAATCAATTCTGTGCTCCACTACTGGCTTTGTAAGATTTTTCAAAACTTTTTAGGGTTGCAGTAGTAGTTAACATTGTGGTTACCTCTTGTTACTTGCATAACAAATTAATCTTAAATTTAGACATTTTTAACAACATTATTTGAAGTTTTATTGTAGTAGTTGCTTATTGTACTTAGATGTTTTAAAGCTGTACCAGCAAAGACCCGCAAAATATTTGTGGTTAAGTAAGTATCCTTATTGCAACATTACTTCATTAAAAACAAGATTTCTAGAATAATACAAAATAATTCTAATCGCACACACCAAAATTTATAAGTCAACTTGTCTTAGGTCTAATATTAGTTAAGCTTTTATTAAGTCTGGCCAATATTCAATAAAGAAATAAATTGACACTGTACTTGTGTACGTTTCTTGCTTTAGTTTGCTTTGATAAGCTTCTAATATGTTGTTATACAAAATGTCTACTAAAGTATATTTACATCTGCTTTTTGTTTACTTTCTTTGAAATAAAGTGTGCATGCATGTGCATTTAGGTATGGTGAACACACATTTGTAAGACAGACAAAAACTGATTATTATTATAATAGATATGCTTTAAGTATTTCGTTCAAGTGTGAATTTTCTTCTTCTAGATTTTACTTTGTAATTCATCTTTCTGGAATTAGTTTTTTTCCACTTTTTATATCTTGATTGAAAAAAAAATGTTTAAAATTAGACTTAAAATTTACTTGTTTTAAATCCTAAGTCCAAGTTTTTTTTTAATTTTCTAACCCTGATATGTAATCTGGTATTTCATTGTTGCAGTTGAACCTGTTCGATTTCTGGTAACCAGTAAGCATCATGGAGAAGTTCCATTCAGAGTTCAGATAACTGACCCGAGGCAAGGAGATGCCATTCTTGTAGCAGAGAAAAGTCTGAACTGTGAAAAAAGGAAGTCCTACAAGTTTGAAATTGCTGCTGTGGGACGCAATGGTGAAGTCTCTGAGAAGTCAGTTTTTAATTTTTCCTTTATGCTTTTGTTATATATATTCTTTATTGATGTTGTTATTGAGAAAATGTTATGTATCATATCATGCTGTGAAGTGTTTCCACAAAAAAGGATATTTCAAGAAAGGTTAATTAGAAAATTAACTTCATTTTCATTGTATGGCAGGTTTACTTTGTGGTAGAGCTATGAAGTTTGGAGCTGTTAAGGTTGTTTCGAATTCGTTAGAGTGACAGTCAATTCTTTAGCACTGATATTTGGTGGAAGGGTGCTGCTTATTGGCTGATTTATCTCAGATCACTATGTCTGTGGACTTATAATGCTAGATTCCGGGCAGAGCACAGATAGCCCATTGTGTAGCTTTGTGCATAATTACAAACAAACCTCAGATCACTAGTTCAAAATTATGGATGGTGGTAAATAGTCTTAGTAGCTTTACCATAAGTATAAAAAATACAAAAAATTACAAAATTCATTGTCGTTATATATAATATTCCTATTATTTAAACCAAAATGTTTATTCAGATTCCATCTGTCAAAACTACTGAATGATTAAATGAAATACAAATGGTTAAAACACAATATGTTCAATGCTCTCCCTTCACCCCCATATAAAGTAAAACATTCTAACAAAGTTACTCCAAGTCTTTATTACATAGTTACTAATTTATACAAATAGAAGTAAAATATGAAATATGCTAATTATTGCAGTTTGGCAAACTTACAACTTATTGCTGAAATCAGTTACATACATGTGTGAATAATATGTTTATTATTAAATCTTGTAAAACCTGCTAATAGATCTAAGTACGGAGAATGAGAACTGAAATGACTATAACCCAGGTTATTATTGTGACATGTTTTAGTTTTTTGTTTACTTTAACCTCTAGACATTGTGTTTATAACACTAGTTTTCTAGATGTAATCCTCTTGCATAACAGTGTAAAATATTTAGTAACTTAAGATTTACAGTAGGGTGTACAACCATGGATGTAAATAAAACATCCTGGTATAATGTTTTCATTATGATGGTGCATGTATTATGTAGAATAAAGATGAGTGCAAGTGTGACTAAAACTTAGTGGTGTGATAGCTTAGTTTAATAATGCATCTTACTTTTGAGGGTATGATAGAAAGTAAATATTACAAATACATCTTGATACGATATATTTCAGTGTTACAGTACATCTTACTGTGGAGGATGTAAAAGAAAGTAAATATTACAAATACCTCTTGATACGATATATTTCAGTATTTTAGTACATGTTACTTTTGAGGATATTATATAAAGTAAATATTACAAATACCTCTTGATATAATATATTTTGGTGTTTAAGTACATGTTACTTTTGAGGATATGATATAAAGTAAATATTACAAATACCTCTTGATATAATATATTTTGGTGTTTAAGTACATGTTACTTTGAGGATATGATATAAAGTAAATATTACAAATACCTCTTGATATGATATATTTCAGTACTTTAGTACATGTTACTTTTGAGGATATTATATAAAGTAAATATTACAAATACCTCTTGATATGATATATTTCAGTGTTACAGTACACCTCACTGTGGAGGATGTGAATGAATATTCCCCTGTCTTCCCACATGGTCCCTACATTGTGGACGTTGATGAAAAGCGATTATATGATACCATCATCCAGGTGAAAGCAGAAGACCGAGACTGCACTCCTAAGTACAGTGACATCTGCAAATATGAAATCCTTACCCCTGACCAACCCTTCACAATAGATTCTGAAGGTACAGTTTGAATGGCTAGAATTGCAGTAATCTCTTTTTTTGTGTGTGTATTTTTCCTACTTGGTGTTTATGTGAACTTACAGTTCAGTCAAGACCATGGTTAGGTCAGAGGTGGTCTTGGAAATTCAAATAAGTCTAATGACCACTTCCTCTCTCCATAACATTAGATGTTACGTTGGGCTTCTGTAGATTTGGTCACACAGTTGGTAAATTTGAATCAGCACACTAATAAAGTTTATAAATATTAAAGTTTACCCAATCAACAATGTCCATGAACCATCCCTGTAAAAAAATATATTTTATTAAAATGTTGCTCATGCTAATTTAGTTATATACTAATGTTTGTATAATAAACTTAGTAGTCCAATCTACAGACATGGTAGCGACTGCTGCCAAATAAGAAGCATGGAGTGTCATTTCCAAAACTCCATATACAGGACCAAAACTTCTGGCCAAGTTGTCGATAGCCAAGTTTTCTGACATTGTCGCAAGTCAAAGGTTCTAATTAACATCGTTGCAAGCAGTGTTCTAACTGACATTGTTGCAAGCCAAATGTTATAACTAACGTTGTTGCATGCCAAGTTTTCTAACTGACATTGTCATAAGCCAAGTGTTCTGACAGTCTCACAAGCCATGTGTTTTGAGTGACATTGTTACAAGCCAAGTGTTCTAGAAACTGATCTGATGCACGTTTTATATGTTAGTAGAATGCTTCCAGCTGATGTACCACTTCTGTTGGCTGCTTATTTTTTTATCAGAGTTGCTTCTTTTCCAAATTCTATTTTAATTTCATTGATATGTTTGATCCACATTCATCTTATTGTAGGTAAGACCTAAAAATTAATTGATATAAATATCTGGAGCTGGATTTCATTTGGGTTTTTTTTTGGGGGGGGGGGTTATCCTATATTTGGATATTTCTTCCAGGTAACCTCGTCTCCTATATATTTATAGAAGGTACACTGATTTTCCTCAATAAGTCGCATACTGCTGATATATACATACAATAAATACTATCAAACTAACTATCCCCTCCTTGCGGGACACGTGCCTCCCGTGTGAAATTATCAGAGTAGGCACTGATGGTTTAAATGTGACACCAATTAGTTCACATGGAAATAACGTTCGTTTGGAATAACGTTAGAGTTCTTATTTTTGATTTAATGTCGTAACCATTGGTGGAGGCTTGGATTTTGAAAACTGGCGAAGAAGCATTGTTTTTGTTAAAATATGTTCGTTATAAGATGATACGTTTTTTTCATATAACCAATTTCGGTTATCATGAAATAGATTTCCAGCATTATAAGACAAATGGATGGTTTGACACACTGTATACTATCCACGCCAGACATAATAACTTGTTGCACGATTGACGACCTTTCAAAATCTATAGGAAATAAATATTTTCCAAATAATAATCTATAAAATATTGCTGGAAATGTTCGGTACTTTGAACTCAATGTTGGTTGCATGAGCCCTCTTCGTTATCTAAACTTATACTGTTTGCCAGACTCGCAAACTGTTTTGTATTACACTTTTTTAACCTTAGCCAACAAGATACCCGAACTTTGCTTTACCAACTTCCGTTACTCCACCCCATCTGTATTTCGTGCCTGTTGATCCAACAGGTTCGTAATTAATCTTCGGCAGGATATCCTGCTATGGACGTGACTTTATCTAATCAGATAATACTTTAGTGTAAAATCTCGGCACCCTTCCTTTCGATGTTCATACTCTTGTATTTGTAGCAGTACTTCAACTTCTTAGAAGCTGTACTGATTTCGTATTACTTCAAAACAAAGATATAAGTGTTATTATAGGAAGCAGAAGGTTGGGTGGAGACCACAATTAGTATTTTTCTCATGTTAAGATTGTACATTTTTGGAGATACACCAGTATTTCGTGTGCTGTGTTACGCTCCTTAATGAATTGTTATCATTTATTCTATCAGGGAGTTATCACCCTTTATTCTATCAGGGTGTTGTAATCCTTTATTCTATCAGGGTGTTGTCATTCACCATTCTATAAGGGTGTTGTCATTCTTTAGTCTATTGTGGTGTTGTAATCCTTCATACTATCAAGGCCTTGTCATCCTTTCTTTTATCAGGGTTGTTGTCATTCTTCATTCTGTCATGGTGTTGTCATTCTTTATTCTATCAGGGAGTTATCACCCTTTATTCTATCGGGGTGTTGTAATCATTCACTATATCAAGGTGTCATTCTTCATTCTGTCATGGTGTTGTCATTCTTTATTCTATCAGGGTGTTGTAATCATTTACTATATCAAGGTGTCATTCTTTATTCTGTCATACTGTTATTCTCTATTCTATCGATGTGTTGTCTTCTTTTACTATAGCAAGGTGTTTTCATGGTTTATTCTGTTGTAGATGTCTCACAATAAACCAAACTGTTTAATAACGAGTTAGAATATTGTTATTTATTCTCTATCTGGCCCTACTTGTTAAATAAAAAGCTGGAATTGGATGTGGATATCACTATATTGGGAGACACCAATAGACACTTTAAAGTGGTTACTTATTCCATTCATGGATAAAATTATGTAAGAACCAGGTACTCGTTTTATATATCTACCTGATATTATCACAACCTGTCTCGCACTCTCAAAGAAGTAGCTTTAGTTCACGTATTGGCTATTTACCGAAAAGTAAATGATGAAATGCAGTCTGTATATGGAAGCTAGGTTTTTCATTCTTCTGTGTAATTGCCTGTGTTCTTGTGCATGACGCGATGTCGATTTCCTGTAGCGATATACTACCATTAGAGAAGAAAAGAGAAAAAAACAGTTGGCAACTTCCATTGTTTTCAGACCAGTCTTTTTTTTTTCTTCCATTTTTAGTGTTTCACTGGATACTATCACTATCATGACACAAAGCCATTACACAAGCTGAATATATAGAACTGTATATAGGCATTTACAATCGCTGTTGAGTTCTTTTTAATCTGAAGGATTTAATCAAAATGATCAGCTTTCTTTAAAGATACCATGCGAAAGTGTATTCGTCCTTATTTTCAAAAGTTCGATAATGTCAGTTTTGGCGGTTAGTTACCCTCTCAGAAATGACTTGTACTTGTGCCAGTCTGAATTAACAAAGTCCTATTTAAAGGTAAGACTCAAGATATTTGAATAAACATAAACACTTCAAGCTATATTTCAAAAAGTCGGTCTCCGGGATCAGTGACGCAACAATATGGGTGTGGTGGATTTAACAAAGAATGAAACCTCCCAACGTTAAAAAACTCCGAAAGTCAAAAATAAGCGCTTATCTAAACCCTATAAAATCATCAGATGTTGTGAGTTTTCGTTTTTCAATCGCTATAACGATTATACATTTTTTTTTTTTGAGGGAACAGAGCAAAGGAAGTACGAAACTGCGAAGACTGTTGTTGTAAGAGAAGTACATGAAGGAATTCACGTTCGACTCCTTTAGACCAGTTTTACTTACATTCTTATATAGTTATCACAACGTTTTATTATTGCCACTTTGCAAAACTATGTAAAATTTTCACGTAGCAATGTTTCCCATTTAAAACCATTAGCAGATTGAACAAAACGTGTTATTTCTTTATTATTTCAAGCATGTTACCAGCGGCACTTGACTTTCGTATTGATCCAACTTCACAAGACGCCGCTTCTGTCTTTCTCGGTTAGAGAATACTTAACAGTTTTTGTTGTTGTTTTGCTTTGAGTTTTCTGTTTTGGTAATTGGGCTTTTTCTTGGAGAATTCCTGCCCTGAAGGTATTTTGGAACGTTATTCCACACAGAATATTTTTTATAAGTTTTCAAAGGACGATGGACGGAACAGAGGAACCGATCCATGCCAACAGTTTCCACGAAATAACTTCCTGTGTTGGTTTCCCTGAGAAACCATTTGGAAGAGGAAACTCGCTGTTTTCGCAGTGAGGCCGTTTTCATAACTAATATTTCTTACTTTTCTCATCAACTTTATGCAACGTAAAAGCGTAGATGCGACCTTTTCTCTCTCTATAAGATGCTTTTATCTTTGTCGTGAGTTAACACATAAGTACACGTGGGTGTTACAAAAACTTGTACAGCTGCACGTTATATGCTTTATAAGAAGTTTATCTTAATATTTAAAAAACAACTGCTATGGTACAATAAAAAAGGAATAATCTTTGAAATTACTGAAACTTTTACTTAAAAACTCACAGTATTTAATGAATTATATAAATATTAGGAGGAGAAAAGCAAAGTACAAGCTAAGACAATAAAAAAGTGCGTGCTGAAAAAAGATAATAAAACCCAATGAGATAAAAAACATTCAGTTTTTTAAAACAAAGAAAAACGAGTACATGTATTGAGAGAAAATGAAACAAATACACGCACGCATTGAAATACAGATAAGCATACATTGAAACACAGAACAAAAACCATTAAAATGGAGAAGAAATTACTACACAGTCAAAACAAGAAAGGGAGACATATTGAAGTAGAAACAATAAAAAACACATTGAAAAAGCTAAGAGCATCATTTAGGTAAAACATTAAACTTTTTTTACCTTAAATTCTAGATTTGTATCATAATTCTAAAGGATCATTGTCTTGTTAAGTTGATGATATGCCTTTAAGCAAACATGAAGTCAAAGCATAACGTAAGCTGACCAATCAGAATTACTCAAGTATTAACTGCTAGATTAAATGCTATGAAAGCAAGCAGACCGTGAACAAGATAAACTTTTTATTTTTGCCAACACGATTTGTCCTGTGAGAAATTATGCACAGTAACGAATCATCAATTAGAAACAGCTTTCCCAGCCTGTATCTGTTTAAGTTCGTTATTCCGTTTTCATTGTTTGGAGATTATTCTACTCGTGTTGTGTTATCCGCTTGCCGGATTTGATGTTCGTATTCATTGTTGCAACAAAATCACTGGAGAATCTGATGAAACAGGTGGTTTATTTTGTTAACAAAACTAACATTTTAGGGCACAAATGTTAATATACTGACTTGTAGCAGTATAGAAGCAGTATAAATTAGTTTTTAGTGTTGAACGTAAAGTAAAATACAAATTTCGATAATTCTAAACATTAAACAAATACGATTATAAAGCAAAGTGGAGTATTTCCTTCATAACTACTTTTACACTAAATGTTTCCTAGTTGTTGTTTTTTATAAACTTAGTTCACACAGTTAATATGTTGTTTTTTTCGAATAAATATATTAAAAATGTTTTATTTAGAGTTAAAACATTGACAAGAAGTTAACGTCTAGCAACCGACGTTTTTCTTATGTTCGCGAGTCGAGTGTTTTAAATGCAATTCGATCACCACATATTATGAACTGCCATCTTTTTCGTGAGAGCTTTGTTAACGTTATGTTCTATCTGTACCTTTTATTTCATCGAGAAAGAGTGTCAAACAACAAATAGTTATAAATTAATGTACTTTCTGTCTTCTTTTAAAATAAATAAAACTCACAGTGTAGATTAGTACAAATCCAGCAAATATAAAGGGTTGAGTTTAAACGATTTTGAATATGCAAATCAGCAAGCCATGTGACAGCCATCGCTGATAAAAGTCGCGGTGGGACAGAATGTATCAGAACAATATTTTAATAGGACGTGTTGTAAGTAGTATGCTTCAATCGAAAATTGATTGCTTTTGGAAAGGGTATGTGACAAGTATTCGTACATTCAGATCATAAAGGTGTATTCAGATCAGGGATTTAGAATTTACAAGACGGTGATATCCCTTGTACTTAATGGCATTGGAAAACAAAATAATGTGGATCAACTTTGGACACCATGACCATCCAGAAAGAGACCTGCAACATCTTATAATAGGTGAGAATCCATGAACATAAGGATCAGTGGAAAAGGTTGTCCACGTACCCCGTAACAACAGCAAACAACATACTCAAGAAGGATTTCCGTCTGGACAAGTGACACCAGTTACATGTAAGCAAGTTGCTTCCACGACATACCTCAAGCAGCTGGAAAATGAAAGGTGTACTTATGCTATTCCATACGAAAATATATTTGTCAAGTTACTGAACACAGCGCCTATTGACTATTGGAGCGGGCACTGGAAAACTGTCGTCCCCGTGCACTAGATGGTTTATGGAAAGCCAGCAGGGAGGAGGGGCGTGCTTTAGACATGATAACCTTAGGTCGGAGCTTTTAGCAACTGAAAATACGATGCGTGGCTAGAGTCAATATACACGGTCGTCAGATAGAGTATTACCGGACCTGGTGACATGGACTATAACGACATGATAAGGCTCCAAAATAATTTTAATATAACGTATTCAGCCTCTGTAGCCTAAATGTTTAACCCTTTGAAACAAAAAAAATATTAGCAAAACACCGAGTTTAATTAAATTATTGTATATTTTAAATAATAATATTCGGATATCGATTTTTAAAAATAACAGCGGGTAACTCTTTTAATGTGTCGTAATAAGTTTATAAAACCATGAATCATTAAAGAAAAGAGACAAATTCGCGTGAAATGTATCTTGACAAAAATGATGGAAAAGAGCTATTAGGACTGAAACCGTTTCAAGAAAGCTATAGTAATAGCCACACGGCAACTAAAACAATACACAGAAACAAACAAATTGATAGGCTCTAAAATTTGTTATAAAAAGTACGTTACCTGCAGAGTTTTTTCTATTTTTTTCACATTCCTCCTAATTTGTTCATTGCGGATTCAAAATCAGAGGCGTGTACAAATAACATTTCAGTTAACGTGAATTTTATCACAAAATTTAGGCCTATTTCTCATGCATTGCCACCTTTCAGCTTTTACACCTTAACTTTTAATTAAAGACATTAATTAGAATTACGTCATATTTGAGAGAAGAAACGTTGATTTAGTTACTAAATCAGATTAAGCATTCTAAGAGAAAGTATTTGGACTGATGATTATTTTAAAATAAATGTATTTCAATGCATTGTATTAATAGTTTGGCTGTATTAGAGCATGTGTTATTACAACATCAATCGACTCCTAGTTAATATACACGTTAATTAGAAATTAATTGCAAGATTATTAATTACAGTGAAAACAAACATAAACTAGTTAAATGTAAATATTATTCACAAAGATAAAGTATGTAACTTAAAAGATCAAAAATGGAGAAGCCTCGATAAAAAAAACAACAGCTTTTAATTGTATTATGTTATACGTACATTCTAGTCCCACCCCACCCCCCCGGTGAGACAGCGGTAAGTTTACGGATGTAGATAGCTGAAATCCGGGATTTAGATTCCCCGCAGTGGACACAGCAGATAGTTCTATGTGGCTTTTGCTCTAAAAAAAAACACACACAGAAGCATATATTTTAAGCAGTATCGTAGTAACTATGGCTAACATATCATTGTTGCCCAGTGAAGTGTCTACGGTATCTACCATTACATCTTGTTGCTGTCTATATAACTCTGTGGCGATATCATCAAAAACGGTTTTGACTTGATTCATCATGCAGCTTAATGTTTTAACATACTGACATAAATAGCGTTTAAATAAAGATTGTTGTGCTGGGGTATTCGTCGAAATGCCTCGCCTGCAATGTCATACTGTACAACAGATTAAGTGTTATTATAGTATTTTGGCACTTGTGTATAAAGTTAAAATCATAAATAAT